TCCTAAAAGGGGTACTGTTGCAGTGTGCAGACCGTATGTTGATGGAAGTGGCTGTGTGACAGCTGCAGCCCACCTGCTGTCGTGAGGGACCTTGACAAATGTGCGACACGTGGGGAGCAGTGCTGGCACGCAGGCATCACAGTGCCAAGTCCAGCCTTGAACACCCTGTGGCCCTGCCATGCCCTGCCCTGTCCTACAGCCTGGTGGGGAATGAAAATGCAAAGGTTGTACAAGAGACACCCTTTGAAATTTCAGAGACCCACAGGGTTGTCTCATCTGAACTACAGAGGCAGAGCCCCGACTTGGTCAGCAGATGCTAAGGTGGCAGTAGGTTTTCTAAGACTTTCCCTTCCTGTTTTCTAAGACTTTCAGTTATGAAATGTAATAATACATGTACAGAAATGGCCCAAAACGAATGTCTAGTGGCAGGAGTAACTGCAAAGAAATGCTACAGCTGGGAGGACAGGAAACACGTGGCTCCCCTGGTCTCTCCCTCCTCACAACACTGCTTTGCTCTCTTGAACATCACATGGATGGGCATTCTGGGCATGGCCTCCTTTGCATGCCATCATGTTTTGTGACGAGTACACTTTGGTTTTCCTTCTGTTGGGAGATATCTGCAATGCTTCTGGGTTTGTGCCCTGTGAGCAGCTATCTGCACATGTGTGGGTGCATGTGGGTGTGGGTTTGTGGGGGCTGGCTCCACATCTGCCTCAGTATAGCCTCCCCAGAGGGTCTGGAGTCTTCCCCAGCTCCCACTTGGCAACCTAGCCTCCTCAGACCTGCACCTCCAACATCTGGGCACATAGGATGCCCTCCTAATGCTTTTCCTAATGGTGTTTGCAATGTGGGTTTTCTTCCTTGCTAATAAGGTTGGTGCCACAGGACAGGGAGGTGGCCCTGAGTGTTTTCGGTCTGTCTGGTGCCTGCTTGGGTGCAAGCCCCGCTTCCCTCCTGTGCTCCAAGGAGCCTTCCCTGAGTGGGAGCTGCATGGTATATGCTTTATGGTGGCTCTTTTCCTTTATCATTTTTAAGAACCTTTCTCTCCCCAAGGTCATGAAAACCTGTCATATGAGCCAGCTAACTTCTTCTGTGATGGACCTAAAAGTGACCATTTCAGGCTTTCAGATCAGAGGGATGGCCAAGCCCCTCAACTCTGCCTCATAGCTGAAAAGCACCCAAGAGCAGGAAGTAAACAGGTGAGGCCCAAGGGCTTCAGCTACAAAACAGGCCCCCAGGCCAAAGTTTGCTGTCTTCTCATTGTGTGTTCAGCTTTCCCATCCTTTTGAAAGGATAACCCATGTACTCTGAGTATTCTGTGGAGGAGAAGACAGGTTCTTTTGGTTACAGCAGCCACTATCACTGAGGCAGTGTTGCCCCTGGGGACTTCAGAAGAGGCTGGAGACACAGTCCTTTATCATAAGAACATGGGCCATAGGATGGTGATAACTGCGTCCACTGGGCTGACCAGGGAAGGAGCTAAAGGTTCACCTTGCACTGGGGCCTCCAGACACTATCCTCCAGAATAGATGGGAAAAAATTTTTTTTCAAATTATTATGGAAAAACACATAAAATAAATTATTATGGCTGACACTCAACAAAAATACATTGAAAAAGACCCAGACAATAACAGTATCAATACCACAGCTTATCCCAGCTGCATTCTCCTCAGTCCAGAGTCTTGACACCCCTCTCTCCTCCTCCTGAGCCCATAGTCTGGTCATCCTCCTCCTCCTCAGCCCACAGTCTGGTCATCCTCCCTCCTCCTCCTTAGCCCATAGTCTGGTCATTGTCCCTCCCTCCTACTTAGCCCACAGTCTGGTCATTGTCCCTCCCTCCTCCTTAGCCCACAGTCTGGTCATCCTCCCTCCTCCTCATTGGCCCATAGTCTGGTCATTGTCCCTCCCTCCTCCTCAGCCCACAGTCTGGTCATCCTCCCTCCTCCTCCTTAGCCCACAGTCTGGTCATCCCTCCTCATCCTTAGCCCATAGTCTGGTCATCCTCCTCCTCCTTGGCCCATAGTCTGGTCTTGGTCCCTCCCTCCTCCTCAGCCCACAGTCTGGTCATCCTCCCTCCTCCTCAGCCCACAGTCTGGTCATCCTCCCTCCTCCTCCTTAGCCCACAGTCTGGTCATCCTCCCTCCTCCTTAGCCCACAGTCTGGTCA